TAGAATGGTTGCCCAAGAGGGCAACGTTTGCAATCACGATGCCTGATCCCGAGACGAGATGGCTTCTACTTGTCGTTCTTGCGGATCACGGTAGCTTCTGCATTCAGATGGAAATGGAAATGTATGGTATCTCTTTGAGTCATGGCTGCCAAACAACTTTCAGCTTGCGCTGACACATAAGGTGGTTTTTGCAGGGATGTGCTGCCAGTGTCATCGGCAGTTGCCGAGCACTGGGAGCACGGCCATGCAGCGTCCAGGCAGGTCAGGGGGGCATGCTCTGCAAGCTTCTGTGACAGGCATCCCTAGCATGAGGACTCAAGATGTCTCAGCCATGATCTTTGCTCATCATAGTGACGTGGATGCTTCAGGATTTCTTACGACGTCCCAGGACCTGCAGGACTGACGCTTTACGTTGCCTTGCTTTCTTCAAGAAGTGTTTACAATCTTAAAAGGCTTTTGGCTGGCATGACTGGTCCCCGTTTAGAGCTAGTAGAATCTCAAACGTCGCTTTGGCATGACCTGTCTTCAACGCCTTCAGCAGGTGTCGTCATCTCTCCTTTCGAGTTGCCTGGATCAAGTTTAAGCCATGGTGCCCGGCATCTAGGAAGATTTTGCAGTCACAAGTCGTCTGTTGTATGCTTGAAGCATGATTTCTCGTATGCTCCAGCGGCTCTATCTTTCACCTTGCCTCTCAGGCTTAGCCTGTTCTGAACAGCTTCGCCGTACCCGCCAGAAGAAGCTGGTGCTGGTCTTTGATCTGGACGCCCAACTCACCCTCCTGCATGTTGCTGCCGTAGGGTTTTTATCTTCTTTAGAAGCGTCTGTTCGCAAGAAAGGATCACACCTTGGTTACAGCCGACATTCACAACTCGGCATCGCCACAGCCGCTTGGAGGCAAGCCCTGACTTTGATAGCTCGACGTCCAAGACTTGGCGCAAACGACAGTTTTGGGCGCTGCAGCTACTTGACACAGGCAGCTGCGCATTCGAAAGCGACCTGGTCTGGAAACTTTTCTCAAGAGCGTGAAGGCTGGTGCTGGCAAATGCATCAGTAAAAAAAATGGGCGAACGGCGTAACGCGGGTCCAACAAGTTGGCAGAGGGGTCGGGCTGAATTGTTGCTGTTGAAGCACTGCTTGATAAGAAGGTCCTTGTCCAAAACCGGTCTGTGCTCTTAACTGTGAGATGGATAATAGAACCTAGGCCTTTTGTTGACAGGCATAGCTTAATATTGCCATTGGGTAGAGGACATTGGCGACATGTACGTCTACACGCAAGCGACTGGTGGCTGGCCCAAAGACTGGTACGAGGAGCAATTCTGTGGCATTGCTCATGGCTAGACTAAAAGATCCTTCGAGACGGTTCTTCATGAAAGGGGCACGCTGCTGACAATCTGGAGGTAACACTGTAGGAGGAGCCTTGACCCCAAAAAGCTCAGCATTCCAGCGCACATCTCCCTGGCCTAGTCGTTTGATTTTTGTTGCCCGCCGGCAGCAGTGTGTCGATGTAGACTCCATTGCATCAAAGGTGCTTACGCGGCGAACGTCCTCCGGAGCGTCGACCCCGAGAGACAGCTCTTTGGAGATCCGCCGCGGATTTTTCACCGTGGCAATACGCCTCAAGGAGGCAGGACACCCTGACTTGTTGTCGGGTTTCCCATCGATGGTGCACGTAGCTCTCTGACATACTATCGCAGACTGACCATGCATCGCATCTACGTGGCTTGTTGTTGTTCGACAACGTGGCATGACGTGACATGGTGACATAGAGTAGTTCGCATGGTCACGGATGGATGCAGCCAAGCTAGGGGTGACCTTGGACACGAGGCCTCAAGGACTTGTCGCAAATCTTGCCTGACGACGTTTCGTCAGCCCTGATCGTGGATGACGCCTAAAATGCATCCAGCTTCTTTCATGTGCGATACTGTCTGCAGGCCATGCATGAGATTGTCCAACAGAAATCCAGCACAGAATGCCGGAACCTGACTGAGGATCGTGAAGAAGTTTGGCCAGTGGACGTCTGTGAGGCCCAATTCCTGAAGGTTACTTGGCAGATCGTAGCCAGAGCTGTGGGAGCTGCTTTTACACAGTTGCTGAAAGCGTTCCTCGTCGAGGTCGCACCTTTCCTGCCGTTTGCAGGAGATGCGAGACAAGGCAGTGCTGAGAGACACGTATGGCTTTTCAGATTGGTCGATGCTGTTTGCTGCGAAATGCTTGCAGGCATTGACTTTGAAGGCTTCCTCATGGGAGCAATGCCAGCGGCACAAGCACTGCCGTGGACAGAGGTGGCGTGTGGCTTTCTCCGTATTTTGGCACACGCGCCGACACGAAGGACCCAAAGCGGAGAAGGATCGATGAGTCCACGGCTGGGTGCTTAGTGCCCTTCACGTGACCAGAGAGCAAGAGCTGGCTCAGCTGGCAAGGTTTCCAAATGTGTGGCTCAGTTCACGCAACCAAGGCAAAGCCTACATACTAGAGCCAAGTGGAGCTGCTCCCCAAATCAAGCGGTAGAAAAAATCAGAGCTGGTTTTGTGACTGAGGTCTTCTGTGAGTTGGATTGGCCGAGGGAGAGGGACAGCCAGTTCGAACACCTGGGCGACATTCTCCACAAGTTGCACAAGGTGGGACACAGGCGAGATCATGTGGCGTTTCTGGCATTTGTGCTAGGCCGTCTTCGCTTCTACGGCTGACGGTGCAGGGGTGCCTTGGACTTCAAGAAATAGCACTTGGTCACCAGGTGGAACCCAGGTGGGATGGCCCAGCAGCCACCACTTCTCGTGTAACATTTTGGAGCCAAAAGGGCCGCACCATTTTTTTCCACTCGCTTCAGGTTGCCGGATGCAGCGTGGCCTCTGCATTGCCTGCGCTGAGGCGGGCTGGCTAAAGGATCCGGGCGCAGGGATCACTATTGTATCCATTTGCAGGCTTCAATGTGCTTGCTCCTTGAGCTGAGTTTTGTGGTGAGAGTTAGACAGGTCCACGTTGGTCGCATCCGTTTAATGGTTGAGGTAGTCTCCATTGATGCAAAGGCCATGATGGTTGTTGTTATGCACGGAGATTCTCTGGTCTTCCTAGGGGCTGTTAAAACGCAATTGTGGCTACCTGATCTGCGGACAGGGTCGCAGTATGCCAGGTAGAGTTTCGAAATGTTGCGTTCAGTCAGTCTTTCGCTTCCGTTGCAATATTCCACTTGCATAGGCGCCCTGTGGGACTGGGGGGCTCCTTGACCCAATTGCAGCCCCATTCATCAGATTTTGCATGCGTTCTGAGCCCATTATCCCATTATAACCCAAATGGTAGTTTCCATTTTCTTTTCCATTATCCCAATATAACCCCAATATATACCCTGTAATCCCATGTGTGTTAGAGCCAGGCGAGAGACACTTCAGGGCTGCCGCCTTTGCCTCACTGGCTTCCGCAGTCGGGCTGAGGCAAAGAGGGATCTTCAGAGCCAGTTGCGTGTGCAGGCTTTAGGGAACTTCTTCCCTTCGAGTTGCTATGCAACCAGAAGAGAGCTACTGCAAACATGAGACGGATCTTTCATGATCTTTCTTGAATCTACATGTTTTCTTGTCATTTGCTTGCGCCATTTCAGGTGGCATGGCCTACGCGATTGGGCGCGAAGGTGGTGACATCGCCGGAGCGCGAGGGTTTGTTTCACAGTTTAGCAGCACAACATGACCAGTCGAGTTCGAAAACCGCAAGATTTGCAGGATGACGCTACGCATGTGGTGGCAGCCAGACGCACAGAGAAGTGGGCTAGGCAGGCCCACACAAGTTGCAAGCTTTCAACCTCTGCTTCCATTCAGCATCCCTCCCAGCAGGGCGTTGGCGCTGCAGGCGGAAGGCCAGGAACACATTTTTCAATGCGCAAGCTCGGCTTTGGGTTTATCGTCCCGCGAACTTCAGCATGGGGTGTCGTCTCGCGTTCTGCAGGAATCATATTGGGAAGTCAGGCCTACACAGTCAAACTCCTAATGTTCCCAAAACATGACAGGAAAGGGATATTTCCAGCTGCAGGCCGTGTTCATGTGGTTCATCCGGGCTGGCTGCTCCGCGCGGCGGTCACATGGCGGAAGCCATGCGAGCAGACACCTAGCTTGAAAGACAAGTCCTTCAGGTGCTCCTGCATGGTGAGGTTGATTTCTCTGAGCACATTCTTTCAAGCTCACAAATCTCGTGCTCATAGCTGTTCAAGATTCCCATCATCTCATGCCTGGAAGCCTTCATCCCAGGAGCTTCGCTTTGCCCCGGCAGGGAACTTTCCCAAGCTTCCTCGACATTTGGAAGGCAGGCCTAAGGGTAGAAGGGGGGGGGGGAGCCGCACCCAGATGTGGTCTGGTGCCCCGCAGGACGCTACCAAAGCTTCAGGCAGGCAAGCAGCGTTACGCCATCAGTACACATGGGGGCTCCCTTTGGAGGGCGGATCCCTCACGGTTTCATTTGTAGATGTTTGTCTGGGATAGGGGTACATAGGTATGGCAACGCTGAGCCCACATGCACAGCGACTTCCCTGGATGCTCCTCGTGTTGTTGTCAAGCCTCTCGTGTGGTTTCCTGTCTTGGAGGTAGCTCCATGTTCATTCAGGAGTAAAAAACAGTCCGCCTCTGCTCTTTTTCATTCGTCCTGTGCGCGGGCAGTGTGGTCAAGGGGACCTCACAACAGTAAGAGAGTATGGGTATAAGCAGCCCACGCATTAAGGCGCTCTAGGTAATTACCAGGCATACCATGCTGCCTTCACTGCCATCTTATCGCAGGCGCCGCTCACAGCTTCGAGGTGGAGCCCGGCCAAGAGGGCCAGCCCAACATTACCGGAGCATGCGGCCAAAAGCGAAAAGACGTGCAGTATGATGTAGACCTGGGATTAGTACCCCCCCGACTTCTGAGGGCCTTGATATTACAAGATCTATAATCACGGGTCTGCAGCCGACATTACCGTGGTCTTTGCATGGTGCTTGGGTGCTCGGGTTGGTGGACAGCATCGACACAAATTAGAATGTGAGGCCGGACGAGTTGGTCCTGGGGAGCTACTGAAGGCTGCCCTGAGGACATTCCATGACAGTCCACGTGTGAGGTCTGGTCTGCTCGTTGAGTGGTAGAATGTGGTAGAGGATCTCTGACAGTACAGGCTCTTTGAAGACAGAGCTGTTCTAATCAAGACTGGATACACCTCAGATACACGCTCGAATGCGCGAGGAGTCCGGTCAAGGCCGACAAGTGTGCTGTCAGGCCTGGTTGTGTTGCATTTTTCATTTTTGAGTCCGAAATCGTTGGCTCCCCAACCCGCATGGTGGCCGGTGAGCATCGTTCAGGTCTACGCCGTCTGTGACCAGCTCAAGCCTCGAGGTGGGCACTTTTTTTGCTCTGTGACAGCTGCCCTGTAAGCTGGCAAAAGATGTGGAAGCGACACAGGACCAGGCTGCTTTGCGAGAGATCGTGAAGGCATGGCGGGTTGAGATCTTGGGACCGCTCTACAAACTCTGGAGCTCGGGATTTGACGTCAAAAGACAGGCCTTCGTAGAGATTGGCGTCCGCGGTCGCCTCGTCGAAGCGCTTCGCAGGGCGCCCTGGAAAATTTGAGTCTTTGCAGAGGCTTGAGGCATTTCTGCCCAGGTGGCGATGGGAGGCCCCAGCCCGTCGTGTTTCGGCTGAGCCGTGAGGCGTGCCGCTGAGGTTCTGTAAAGGTCCCACACTACAGGGGTTCTACAGGATTCTGCAATACATGGCTATAAAAAAGGGGTTATACAGGGGATAAAGGGATATTACCCCAGATTCAAATCGTGGAGAATCAAATGGGAAGAACACGGAAAGTCAAGGGGAAGCTTAGCGCAATACAGGGGTTATATGTATAATATGGGATGCATTCTGCCCCACAATCAAGTTCTCCGAAAGGGGAGCGCAACATGAAGATACCTCCAGCAGTTCCGAATCTTTGCGCTAGTCGTGCGGTGTCTATGGTCTAGGTCTGTACTGCTGAATGTTTGATACCTACGCATGCCTTCGCTACATGTGCGCGCAACGCTCTGTACAGTGAGCAGCAGTGCATGATTCCCAATGATGGATAGGGATTTAGGGTTTAGGGCCAAAGTCTGGTCTTGGCAATACTCATAGCTCGAAGTACGGTAGCTGCTGCCAGCAGATACAGCACTTCTCTATGCTACAGGACACTGGCCAGGTTGCACAGCTTTCTTTAAACAGCAGGCACAAGGACTGATACATTCACAAATGAAGTGCAGAAGTTGGACATCTAAGGTAATGAGTTATATAGGGGTATAGGGTTACGTACTTTGGGATAAAAGTAAAATGGAAACTGCTAAAATGGCTTATACTGGTTTAGGCGAATCTAGGCATGTCGAGAACTGCAGCTTGGATGTCGAGGTGGACGCATTTGAGATTGGCCCTGAAGCAGGCCGAGGCCGTCGCTATCTGTGGATTTCCCTAATTCTTTAAAATACGGGTCCCAATGTTTGGGTTCCTGTTGCAATCTAATTTTCTTCCTTTTTGGTAACAAATACCCTATTATACTAGAGTAGCTTCCGTTTATTTTTCATTATCCCTATATAACCCCATATATACCCCCTATAAGCTCTATGTTTAGGCCACGTCCCATGTGCTGGGGACATAGGCCACATTTTGTGTGGGGTCCTCAAAGAGGCCGTCTTGGCAGCCTTGTCGTCGGTCCTTTGATTGCAGTACAGGGGGGGATATAGGGTTTCTAAAGGGGGTATGTATGGGAGTTAAAAGGGAAAATGGAAAATACAATGGTAAGGACTAGTAGGGTATATATTAGGATCATATAGGGATAATGGAAAATGAGATGGAAACTACTATAGTAGAAGAGGGTACTTGTTGCTGGCATTGCTCCAAGACCCTATCGAATACTCCCTTCCAAGGATATGTGATTTAAGGGTGATTGACACATTTGATACAGGGATTGTAATTGGGATGTTGATCGAATCAGGGTATGCTAGGGAAACGCTGGACTTGTTGCCATGGCATCTTTAGTGGAACTGGTGCAGCAGGTCATCGGGTGGCCCTCACGGAGGCGGCCGCATGCAAATCATGCAGGGGCTGGGCAACTACATGCTTGGGAGGTGAGCAACAACTTTACTCCGGGTGTCCATGTCACTTGCCATGCTTTGCTTGAAGTTGTCCATGATCTGACGCTATCCTATGCTGCACGCCTTTCTGAGTGCTCAATTCGTGAGGTGTGTCCTTTCCTACTTGAAGCATTCTGGCTCAAGCACTCAAGCATTGCTTCATTTCCGTTTGCTGAAAACTCAGATTTCCTAAGATGGTGTCGTCAGGCCGGACAGTTGCAGAGCCGTTCTTGCTGAGCGGTGTGTCGTTCACAAGCATACCCACGTGCCAAAGATGAAATTCAGAGGAATTTGCATGAGACACTGTGTTCAGATCCAGACATGCGTCCCGGGAGGCATTTGCGTTTTGGCCATGCTCCTCAGCACGGCAAGTGCTGCCCGCCACGATGTCGTGCGCGTGCCGCGTTAGCAGCCCTTTTTCGTGGGTAACAAAAAGGTGAAGCATCGGACTCCTTCATGTAGTAGGTTTCCTTCTATCGCAACACATTTGTGTTCTACTGTATCGCTTGGGGGAGCCGCAGCCATCTCTTGGATTGCTTTTGCCACGGCTTTGCCTGTGTGCGTCTGTTGAGCGCGGCGGGTTTGGATCGACTGATCGACTTTGTCATCTAATATGTGTTTGGATTCAAGCCGCTGCAATCCAGGTGCAGCAGCATCGCGCGAGTGCGGAGGCCCTGGAGTCACATATGCTGGCAAAGTACTCCTGTGAGTCCCCCATTTACAAGTTCAGGTACGGCTTAACTTCCGGGTCATTCCTTGTTTGCCCATGTTTGCTCCACCAAATGAAAGAGCAGTACTGCGCAGGCTTTTTAGGATCCAACATGAGAATCCCGAAAACAGCCCACAAGGCAAATTGCTTCAAATGCGTTTGCCTTCAGGTCCACGGCGGTAGCTCTGAACCTTTGCACCAGCTTCTGCTGTCTTCTAGCTGTCTGGCCCGTTCGATGCACAGTTACCCCTGGCAAGCAAAGGATTTTTTGATGTCAGCGCCATCCTATGAACACTGCAGACATTGGAAATACTCATATACACGCAGCACTAAGCACAGTTTACCCCTCCGCATGAAACCAATGCCAGTGCCACACAAGGCCAACCACGGCCTGAAATGCCCACACAGCTTGCCGCGCGAATTTATCTATGCTTCTTGAACCCGTGGTTCGTGCTTTCTCGCAGTCACTCTCTGAGCTACGACAAATTACGACAACATGCAAACCCACCAATAAGTCCAGGCATTTCGACCAGCTTGCCAACTACAAAAGCCAGCGTTACTTGCAGATACGCTGAAGCTACCATGTCTGTGCATCATCTGGGTGCTGGCGAGCACTCTGCGCAGGCAGAGGGCAAAATGGTCCCAAGCGAGATCAACTTGGCCTTTCGAAGGGCACAAAAGAAGCTTGGCAGGGCGATCAGCTGATGCTTCTTGTGACAATTCTCGTGTCAGGCCTTTCCATGTCTCTTGGTTCGCCCTACTCTGAAAGCCCAAACTAACAGCCATCGGTTCTGCCTTTGCTAGAGAGTTTTGGGGAACCATCGCTGCTGCTGCTGCTGCTGCTGCCGTCGTCGTCGTTGTTGTTGTTGTTGTGGTGGTGGTGGTGGTGGTCCTCCTTCTTCTTCCTGTTTGTTGTGTTGGCATCGCAACTTAAGCTTGGAGTGGCGCAACAACCTTCAGGTCCAAAACGCGTGGACAGGCTTGCATGTCTGCATTCGGATGAGCGACCAGAGATGTCTGAAAGCATCCTGAGCATTTCTTCTTGGCCCTCAAGGCTTCCATCCAGTTCCATCCCTTCATTGAGGCGTGATCCAGGCAAGCGTGCAGTCCTACACCTACTGAAACAGGCATATGCTCCCCAGTCTATAAGTTCCATCCATAACTATCAACCTTTATTCCCTACTAGCCCCAAACCTTGAACCCTTAACCCAATGATATTCCCTTATTCCCTTACTGTCCTGAACCCTTATATATATGTGTATATATATATATATAAAAGGGATTACATCCCCTTACTCCCTATGAACCACGAATAAGCTGATGCATGTTCAGCTCAGGAGCGCGCAGGCGAGGTTAGCAGACTTGGAGAAGGCCGAGGCTACCGCCAGTGCTGCAAAGGCAGGCGCCTTAGCCTTCCTTATATAGGGGTTATATAGGAGTTATTTAGGGGGTTTAGGGTTTAGGATTCAGGGTTTAGGGGATATTACCTCCAATAATGGAACATCCATTTTTCAAAGTTAGCTTCATGTGAGGATTTGGGTGTAGGGTTAGAGAACAGGGTTCAGGGTTTGGGATGTAGCATGGCCGAAGCCGTTTCGGCAAGCAAAGCCTTGAGTGTCACGGTTGTAAAAGTAGTCCTGATATGTCCTGATGATATTGACGAGAATGACAGGTTTTATGTCTGATGCGTGGGCCCAGTCTACGTAGGACGCGCGAGCACAACAGCACCTGGCAAACTTGCAGAGCCGCAGTTTTGACAACACCTGTGAAGCGCTGATTAGGAAAACGCGGCATCGGCAGCAACAACCAGAATCTTGGCAGCAACGCATTCGTCATGGATGCTCTTTGCATAGTTTCAGCCATGCATGTTGGGACCATATCACGCTGGAAAGTCTGTAAGTCTTGAGATTGAGTGTAATCTAGTGGTAGTGGATATGCTGAACGCACTCATTCACCGTCCTGCCATAGTCAGCCGTGTCCAGATGCAGCAGGGGGGGAACAACTTGCAAGACCCATCGTTGCTGCTACCGAGAAATGTCGCTCATGGAGGATGTGCAGGCCAAGACCACTCAACAGCAGGCTCAGGTCGAAAGGCGCCCGGTGGATCTGGCACTGGGTGGCTGGAAGGGTGCTGATAAACGTCGCCTATTGCGGTCGCAGCATGTTCGTTTCCAGTAGTCTCAGAATGAAGGCCTAGGATCACTCTACTGGTGATGTGGTCATGGCTTCCTTAGCGCACCGTGCAGCAGGAGCCGCCAGGCAATGACCGACGCTGAGAAGGCATCCGGTCACCTTCACCGCTAGCCAGTCAAGATCAGTCAAGATTGACATGATTTAATGATTAGCACGACAGTGATGCCACTTTTGATTCCACTGGATAAACAAACAGTCCGCAGGAGTGTGCCTACTTCGCATGTTGCTGAAGCGGCGACCGTGCTGCTTTGTGAAATGCCAGGCTGCGTCAAAGCACCTCAACCACGCAGGAGACTTTGAGGCCTGGTCTTTGCCGCGTGCTTTCTGTACCCAGAGCCAGGTAGAGTGTGGAGTTGCCAGGGTCACGATGCGGGCCAAACAAGCCAGCTTATGACTAGTCATGCTGCAAATATCTTGATGATGAGATTTCTCTTCTGGGCTTCGCAGCAGTGGTCATGTATGCACACGTACTCTTGACAGAGCTGTTCTCACCTGGCAGGATGCATTGGCCAAGTGGAATGGCCTTAGCAAAGACGTGGAGGCGCTGGAGAAGCTGTGTCTCCTATTCTGGTTCTCACTCGAGCGAGTCTTTATCAGTCGATAAGAGGTCCGGGAGCTGTAGATACCCTTCGCAGTTCTTGTTGGAATTGACTCAATTGTCTGTGCCAGAACTCGGTCTCGTGCTGGTACATGCCAGTATGCCAAGCCTTTGGACGCATGTACTGCTGCTGATGTGTTCTCCCTAGCCCAGGGGATGCAAGAGAACGTGACCATGATGCAGCTGGGCTACAACATGGACTCGCAAGTCTGGACCTGTTGTTCTTAGATCAATTTTGGTGTTCTTGCCATCCGAATTGTGGCGGATTGTCTCAGCCATGCATCCTTTCTGGCATCTGAGGGAGGAGGCAATCGCAACCACGCTTGCGCGAATGAAGAAGCACCTTGAAGCCACTTGCCAATCAACTTGAGGTAGTCAGCCAGTATCCTGCCCCGTGGGTTTGGGGGTGCGTCTGTGCCTGTGCTGATCCTTAACAGGCAACTGTCTCAGGTAAGCATGTAATGACACAGCCTCAGCACTTGCCAGCCAGCTGCTGAAGCCCTGAACTGTTGGATAAGCAGTGCCAGTACCACCAAGGCAAGGAAGACACGACATCATGCTGATCATCAAGAATTGTAGGAGCAGTTCATAAGCTTAAGAGAATATCAGTGCAGGCAAAAGGAAGGACGATAAGCTTTCTGAGCAAGTTCTTAACATGAATGCTTCCATCATGGGGCTTACTTGCGTGACGTTGTGCGACGATCTTTCATGTTTGACTGCAGCCGGCTGAAGAAAATCATTGTCTGATTCCGCGCTGCGGTCATGAATGGTAGGTTCCCTGAATAGGGCGACCGCATGATAGGCCCCAATATACTCTAAATGGGGATTTCCCAAAATTAGGGGGTACCAGTCTAAGGGTCCCATAATAAGGATTATAGTATTTGGGGGTCTATATTGGGGTTTTTTTTGGGAAGCTACCAAACAAGGTACCACCAATTTAGGGAAATCCCCCAAAAAGGTCAACTGCCACATGGCCAGCACCAAAGAGAATACAGCCCCAAACCCGAACTTCGTGATTTTTGTAGGGAGTAAGGGAATATGTATATATATATATATGCTCTCTCTATATATATGTACTATATTATATTATATTGTGTTATATTGTGTTATATTATATTGTATTATATTAGGAATTGTACAGGGGGATATATTCCCTGACTCCCTAGACGAACAAGCAGTAAGCAAACTTCTAAACACCAAAACGATTGAGCATCCCTGCGCATTCCCGAGCTTCCATTTCATCTTCCATCTGCGTTTCGTTTTGATAGCAGAATTGAGGTACGATGGGTAATATCTCCCTAAACTCCCACCCCAAAACCCTAAACCCCATCATAGTAGTTTCCATTTTTTCCGTTTTCCCTATATAACCCCAGTATGCTATGGTAGTTTACAGATTCTTTTCCAGTATCCCTAAACCCTAACATTGAGATCTCAGGCTCTCAAGG